TTGACATCCTCGTCTGTTCCAACTTCCCGTAGTTGAGACAATGCTCCCTAGATAAGTAAATGAATTAACCTCTTTCAAATCCCTCGCGTTGATGGGAATTGTACTGCTGACTAATAGCATTGGTCACTTACAACCTTTTAATTTAATAATAATAATAATTGTCAGTCTACATCTGTGAATAAGGAGTGATCAGATAGTAATAATACTTTCTGCAATTATCTTGTTACTTCTTTGGGTAATTGTTTTAAAGTATGAGCTTGCTTACTGGTCTGGAAACTGTCAACTTTCATTGTGCTGTCCTTACATTAATAGGTGAAGCCCGCTACCCTTCTGCACCTATGCGTGTATTAATTCAATAATCTCTTCGTTTCATTCAAGTTGGTTATCATTTCTGTCATTTGGTATGTTTTCGGGAGTCTTTTTGTAGGATTCAATGTCGATTTTGTCAAGAACTAACATAAATTAATGGTAATTGAAAACCAGGGAGCATTGGAGAGGTGTTTAATTCTAGTTCGGGAATCATTAGCAGTACTCACCAACTGGGGTTCGAACCCCACGGCCTTCTGGTTACAATTTGAGCTCGTAAACCATTAAGCCACTGGGATCCGATTCAATAGCCAGCTCATGAATTCTAACTCCAACCAGTTCGTGATTTAACGCAACCACCAACCAATATCATCGGTGGAAAATCTATCCTCACACTTGACTGGTTGGACCTCACTGGTCACAACTTCTCACTAGAAATCTGTACTGTCACGAATCGGTAGAAGTTAGAATTCATGCACTGGCCATTGAATCGGGTCCCAGTAGCTGAATGGTATGCGAACTAGCTTGCATTGTAACGGGAAGGTCCTGGGTCCTAATCCTGGTGGTGGGTGTGTACTACCGATGATTCCCAAACTCTGATAAAACAGCTGTCCAGTTCTCCCTGTGGCTTGTTTTCAATGGTTCTCTAACTGATATCAATCCGTGGTCAAACTCGTAGAAACAAATTTTTGATCCTTACAAACCAACTATTGAAAAAGAAAATCTTTTTGTTTGAAAGCAATGAGGAATATAGCTCAGGAGGACGCGGTTGTTTGCAAGGCAGAGATGTGTTTTCCCCCAAAAAAGAAAATACATTATTTATTTGTTTTGTGATATCTGGCGAAATCTAGGTTTTCTCTACAATCCCCGTGTAAGTGTGAATGACATGTATCTTAAATTTGATTGATTAATCTAATACAAGTGTGGCCTGATTTTGTTTTACTCATTTATGTGTCGTGTTGCTGCTTTGTAAACATGTCTGATATTGACAAACTCATTTAACTTTCTAATTCTTATGTGAATCACTATTTTTCAACAATCTGAAAAACTAAGTTTTGCATTTAACCGTCTACATATATATTGAAAACATTTATTTCCCGATACGAATTTAAAACAAGCAATAAAGCAGGATTTAATGAATTCATCAATTTTCGGTAGGACTCGTCAACTGAATGCTCTACATACACGGATATATATATATATATATATATATATATATATATATATGCTTTTGAAATTACATTGGGAGATATAAGACTGATATGTAAACAAACTACATTGAATTAGTCATGCAGACAGACAGGTGCGAGTGTTTTCCAGGTCATGTTCAAATAGATAAGGAGAGGGAGATTGTGAGAGATCAAAATTAAGATAAATTGCATTACGCTTCAATTGCATCACTTAGATAAACAATTAATCATTAGAGAGTGTAACAAGTATTGCAAACAGAGTAATATCAATAGTAATAGTTATAATAACAGTAACAATAATAGTGTTGAAGTGAGTTAAGATAATCCTACTGATAAAGGATAGTTTTAAATGAATCAAGAATAATAACAATAATAGGTAGAATAATAAGTAAAACGTATTGCCATGGTAGATTCAGAGTCACGACCATCTCGTTTTGTACACAGAGACCTGGTTTATTGTCTCCTTACAATAGCAGTGAATGACTTGACAGCGTCGATATCTTGTCCATTATCCACAAGATGTTTTATCATTGAGGATGTTAGCGCTTTGCACTCAGCTGTTTGCAACCATTTGTGCAAATGCTCCATCATGCGAGTAGACAGTCGCCTTTCTGTACGACCTATGTATTTGCTTCCAAAAACACAATCAAATTGATATATGCAGTTTGAAGTGTCGAGGATTGGCGACTGATCTTTCCCAGATTGTTGAAGCACTTGCTTAGCGGGGTTAAAGATAACAAGTTTTGCAGCACAATATGTTCTCTTGATGGCTTTATCGAGTCTTCGTTTGACTACTTCCTGTACATCATCTCCTTCAAATGGCATATATATATATATATATATATATATATCAGTCCACTTGAGAAGGGATTTGTTCATCATTTCCGCTTCCCACAGTTATGGCCCTTTAATGCTCAAAGCATCAGGAAAAAATAGCTTTATTCCAAACAGTACGGTTTTGGTACAGATATGGAGTTCTCAGCATGTAGTAGTACAGTATTACATCTAGTAATTTCCTGTCTTCTACTTTACTCCTTGCATAAAATACCTCCCGGCTAAGGTATTGTAGAGTTTTTCTACTTAGTCGTCCGAGCATACACTCGTCTGTAGTTGCTTCTAGTTCTAACCAATTGATGAGATGAAGGAAGGAAAGAGTTGTGTGTGTATGTGTACAGAGGATGTTCGGAGTCCAACAGGATAATATTTTCTAATTTCTCGCAGGAATCCAAGTGTCTGTCTTATCTACAATAGTATTGAGTAGTTGGTTTAGCAAAACCCCACTCGCCGCCCTACTAACAGCTCTTAGTACCCTATGCGGTATAACAAAGTCTTTCTTAAGTAGCCCTGGTAAGATTAAGGGGGGGGGTGGAATAGTAAAGAAGTATAAGCAGAATACAAGAATTAAAAAAACGGTAACAACAATAGAGATGGAATGATACCAGATCGTCTTAACTTCAAACGAAATATTTTACTAGGAGCTAGGTAAAGTGATCACAGGAAATACACACAGTCCAAGGTATTTATAACATTCGATTTGATTTCAACTTCAGTGCCTGCCATCTATGTTGGTGGAACTGTGCAATCTAACCAATTCTTTTACTTCTCTCATTCTGTTGACATTTTGTATCACAACAACTGATCATAATTTTGCCTTTCCATGTTCATTTCACTCACAATTAAATCATCGAAAACACTTTGCTTTATTACGCACCTTATTCATTTGTATTCGATTTTCATTATATTTTGATTAGTGTTCACTATTCTGAACAGCTTAACACTTTTTTATTATTGTAATTGAATTTTAGATTTTCCAGTCGATTGTTTGGACCGAATTGCTCGGTCTCAGGGTTCGAGCCTCGGTGGAAATATCATCACTCACTGCGAAACGCAGGTACATCCAGCTACTTAACGAGTCCCAAATGGGATGAAATGCGCATCCTGGATTCCACTGCTAGTCATCATCTACAAATTAATTTTATTATTGGTCGGAGGATTTCTTCATGAGCTGACATCAGTTAGAGAACAATCGGAAAACCAGTTGGGGGAGTACTGGACGGCCAGCTGTTTCGTCAGCCTAGTGACTTCTCTTTGTGACTCTTCATCAGTACGCACCCACCGCCAGGGGTCAAACCCAGGAACTTTTGGTCACAAGGCTGATGTTGTTGGTTCATGATAAAATCCTCTAACCAAGGTGCGTCGGTGGCACAGTGGTTAGGACTCTTGCCGACCATGCACATGGTCCGAAGTTCGATCCCCTGCCGACGCACACCTGGTCAGATTGAAAAATATGGGCTACCGATATCCATGCTGAAAATTCCATACTGTACCAAAAATACGGTGTCGAATCAAGCTGTAATCAAAAATAAAAAATAAAAAAAAAATAAATTTGTACGAAAAACATAAAATCCCTATAAATTAGTACTTGAAAATTTTATTATTATTATTTGTTGTTATCAAGCGTTTCGAATACACAATTGTTGAATAGGAATTATTAAAAAGACGGTTGCAGCGAAGAGAATTTTCTTTTCTACAAAGTCGTCAACTAGGCTGTACATTCGTGTATTTATGATAAATGGATGGGAAAGTTCCAGAATAATTTCCGGTTAATGGCAAAACTTATAAAATTAAAATTGGGAATTAAAATGCCATAATAAACAGGGGGGATGGACAAAACTCCAACAATGAAGCATCATAATTACTGAGAAGGTTGACATATTGTGCAATTGGCGGTTAGAAATGTAGAAATCACAAAGATAGACAGGATGTTTGCACACAAAATCTATTGGGTTCATAACTAATGTGACGAGTAATTGTTTATGCAATCAGGGATTAAATATGTAGAAATAATAAAATGACAAAATAGGCAGAAAGTTCGGATATGAAGATATGGTAGTATAAATAGGGATTAAGAGAAACTTAATAATAATGTGAATAAAGAGGAAGTTTGAATAAGAAAGGCAATTAGATAGTCACTATTAGAAGAATTACCTGTTTCTGCTGGTCATGACAGGGACAATAGTTAGACGCATTTCTTTTGCATACATAGCGTGAGTTTGAGCTTTTTGATGGCTAGTGCCTCGGCTGTGCCCAGATGTCTTGATTTTACTCCCTTTGATAGGTTTGTTCGAATCTTGTATATGATTTTGAAGGATTTTTTGAATGGCACTGAATGTCCTGAGTTGACCAGATGTTCTGTCGCTGAACTGTATACACGTTTTCGTTCTCCTTTTACTAGCTAGGCTGGATAGTGTTGACGAGCGCATTTTTCAAGTTGGCGCATAGAATATATTCATGAAACCAAAATGCCGGTGTATTGAAATGCTGTTTCTGGAATGAGTCTTCATCCCGAACTATATATTTTCATAATCCTGCGTACACCAGTGTGAATTTCCCATAAATTTGAAACCCTTGATTGGTGTGCTAAATAACAGATAGTATCTTACTTATTGTTATAATACATCTTTTAAACGTACGTCCTTTTCATGCCTTGACTCCTTTTTGTAGTTATGGGACCATATATTCACGAAATCCTATGCGGTAAACTTGGATTAGATACAAAATATGCAATCAAAGCTATCCCTCTAGAAGACTTTGGCGGTGGACATCCTGATCCGAATTTAACCTATGCAGCAGATCTAGTTCAAATGGTAACGTCAGATGCAACAATTGCAATGGCAGCTGCTTTCGATGGTGATGGGGATCGTAATATGCTTATCGGTCGCCGGGGATTTTTTGTCTCTCCGTGTGATTCTCTTGCAGTCATAGCTGATAACACAGATGCAATTAAATATTTTCGAGAGCATGGAGTACATGGATTTGCACGCAGTATGCCTACTAGCAGGGCATTGAATCTGTAAGTTTACAATTAAAATTTAAAAAAATTGAACTTGTCTGTGATTTTCAATGTACTGCTTTTGATATTGTGTTGTGAAAATCTTGCCTAATTTAAACTTATGTTTTTTGTTATAGTGTATGTGAACGTCGATCAATGAAATGTTATGAAGTTCCAACTGGATGGAAATTTTTCGGTAATCTAATGGATGCTAAATTATGCTCTGTATGTGGTGAAGAAAGCTTTGGTACAGGTTCTGATCATATTCGTGAAAAAGATGGTTTATGGGCATTATTAGCTTGGTTGTCTATTCTAGCTAGCCGATGTCAAACAGGCTTACCTGTTGATGTGGAGTCTATAGTAAAAGAGCATTGGAAAAAGTATGGAAGATACTTTTTCACTAGGTAAGGTGTTTTTTTCCCCGCTATAATATTTTGTTAGAAGATTATTTTGTAGTTTATTTTCTTCCTAGTGAAAGAACTGGTCCACTGAAGGAGAGGACTGTCGAGTAGTTGCGCCTTAGGATGATACTGCGTGCTGGTCTCGTCACGCAAGAGGCAGTCAATGGGTGTGTGATTATGTGAATGCACGGTGACTTGTCGGTAGAATGTTCGTCAAACACACCACTCACGTGGTCTAGGGTTCGATACCCGGTCGACGTACTCCTTTACCTCGGCTAAGCCGGTAAGAAGGGGAAGTTGAGCATAAAGTTAGCAACCCCACCCCGTAAAAATGAACACCATTGCTATCGAAACTTCAAGCCCTGTGTTCCACTGGAAAACGTAAATCAATAAAAAAGAAGTGAAGGAATAAAAAATGCGAAGCATAAAATGAATACTGGTCACCCCGTATAAAGCTTCTTGACCATGTCAATGGCGGAGGAAGACTACTCATTCAAATAGTCTTCTATGATGAGTTCTTGTTCATTGAACATGGTGCTTTACTCTATACAGCATCGACTATCATAAAGTGGATCTACGTCTTCTGATTTCTTTTTAATTTTAACTATTGCATTTAGTCGTCCATCAGGAGATGATTTCACTTGCATTTATTTCCAATGGATTACAAAGTTCTGGTAAATGTAAAGATGGATTTTTATCCTTTAGGCGAATATCAATTATCTTCAAAAACGATGATCAGTGGGTTTTTTGTCGTTTCTCATTCAATTGTGTTACTCTGATACTTCCAGTCTTTCCATGAACTTCTTAATAAGTCACACCCATTTTGTGATTGCTGTCCATCCAAACATTGGTAGGTGAAGGAGAGAATTTGGTGTCCTGCCTTAGAGTTGAAAGTTAAATGTCGAAATTGAAGGAACCGTAGCTCTAAAGTCTCATAACAGATATGTATACTGATAAATTAATGCAAATGTCACCGAGAATTTTTCGGAAGGGAACTAGTTTTTATCAAAATGTAATTGAGGCAGACAATTATAGTTTCAACACATATTTACCATCACAACAGTGTCCGTTTAAAAGTAAGTTGAAGTAAGAAAGATGGGCTGTTGAAAAAATTTTGTAGCTGATGCTTCAGGATCCTAAGATAATCTAACTTGGTGCGCGTTATTGAAGAGTCCCAAAATAGGACGAAACAACTGTCCAGTACCCTCTGGTTTCCATTGATCTCTCCAACTGACTTTCGTTCGTAACGGAATTAAGTAGAAGAGTTGGACATTATCTTCTCTGGTCGATATAATCGATTATTCCGTTTTCTTAATTGAAAATGAAATCTCTCTCATGGGGGGAATTAGTTCTGTTGTTATGTTGTCTAGCATTTTGTATTCATTAAGCATACAACATGCGAACAACAAAACATAGAAGACCAAATAACTTTCACTCACTCTTGACTGTGAGTATATGTCCATTGAATATCCGCAAATATGTTTCCACATTTTCCCGAGCAATTAATTCATAGCAGTTTGTCAGAAATCAGTCTACTTGGCTCACAACAGCAATCGCTAACTTTTGTGGATTGATAGCATATTTTGATCCAACCCAACTCTAGGTCTTTTTTATCGTGATCCTATTTAATTGACATTTTTACTTAAGGAAGTTGGTGGTGGCTCTGATAGCGTTCCACATAGCTTTATTATCTAGCAGTCAACATTAATATATATATCTTATTTGTGGATGGTGACTAGCAGTGGAATCCAGGATGCGCATTTCGTCCCGTTTGGGACTCGTCAACTAGCTGGATATACCTGCCGTTTCCCAGCGAGTGAAAAATTCACACAGTGATACACCCATTCAGTGGGTATTGGTTTTCAGGAGAACCATCCCTGCCTCACTTGAAGTGAACAATAAAAATATGACAGTTATGGTCGGCAACTTGTTGTTCTGTTGTTCTGTGAAAAAGCAGTAAGGTCCTAATTAGTTTACTCCTGATTGAATTTGTGGTTGCTGAGGGTGGGTGGGGGAATCACACAGTTAACTTTCGCCAGTCATATCTTACAGCTATGGAGTATGACAGCGAAATGCTGAGCGCTGTAAACGATGCACCTTGGTAAATTGTAGGCGGCGAAGGTGAGATTTATTCACCAACCATTCCATTAAGATTGACATATCAGATATGAAAAAGGTGGTGGTTGATACATCGAATCCCTTTGATTCTTATGCAGATAGATGATTTCTATGGCATTACCTCTTTTTCTTTCAGCCAACATACCACTCGACTTACTTCAATTTAGGCATTTGACATCAATGGTCACACAATAAGTTTGGTACCTGAGATATTGCGTAACACGGCATTATCGAACATTTTGAAGAAACTAAGCATATATGTCAAACATACTAGCATATTTTCATATGTTGTACCTTCTCTGTGGAAAGATATTAAAATTATCCTTGTACTTAAGTCTGGTTCTGGAAATAGTGTTAAGTTTAGACCTATTGCTGTTACCTCTCCTTTTTTGAAACGAATGGAGAAATTATTGTTACAAAAACTTGTCCCCTCCCTAAGCTTCTCAAATGATCCAATGCAGTTGGCATACAAACAGGGTAGAAGTACTTTAGACGCTGCTGCTGTGTTTCATCACATTGTATCCTCCTTAGACAAAGGGGCCAAGTATGTCCATTGTACGTTCCTTGATTACACATCCGCTTTCGACTCTGTACCTAGAGGTTTTTTGTTGAACAAGCTTAGCCTTACACAAACTGAGTCTTGGACTATCAACTGGCTGTACTCTTACTTCTCCAGTAGGGTGCAGTACACGGTATATAATGGTGTAGCTTCCTCTCCTTTGCTTACTGAAGCTGGTGTTCCTCAGGGTGCTGTTTTCTCTCCGTTTCTCTTTTCCTTCTTCTTACATGACTTACCTCTTTCAGACGAAATCAACTTCGTCAAATATGCAGATGACCTGACTGTTTCGCTTCCCGTTAAGTCTCAGTCAGACTGCTTCAAATTAAATAGCTTCCTGTCGGACATCAGTCAGTGGTCTAAACTAAATGACCTCATGATGAATCCCTCAAAATGCCAGACTATTGACTTCTCCTTTAAGCATAAACGAGATCTACAAACACTAGTAAGCACTCATAAAGCCTGTAGCATTGAGGGGACTAAAGTTGAAACTGAGTCTAATGCAAAGTACCTCGGATTAGTTATATCTGCCGACCTTACCTGGTCATCTCATATCCAAATGATTTCTGAGAAAGTGTTTTGTCTAACCTACTACATTAAGACTATCTGGAATCACCCAACCTCTACTTTCACAATTTGTCAACTCTCTTGTCTTACCTGTTCTACTCTACTGCTCCCCATTAGTCTTTCCTGGGTTACTGAAAAAGGACTATACCATCCTGAGAAGGATGTTGAAGGTAGTTAGTAGGACTAGTGGTGTAAAACTCAGTCAGTTCATCACTACATTAGTAGATAAGCATCTGAATACATGCGAAGAATGGTCTAAAAGAATACTCTCTGACCCCCAACACCCCCTCTATTCCCAACTCTCTCCTTGCATCTCATCAGGTAGAACCAACCAGAAATCAGTATAAAATAATATATGCTCGTACAACCAAGTATAGGAACTCAACGATACCATATTTGGCCAGCCCGTGTTCTAAGTGACAGAGACAATGTTAAGCGTGAAACCTATGACTTGCTTTGTTGTTAATAACATAATTTCGGCCATTGTTATTTCCCGCTTATACTCTCTTATTTGTACTCTATAGTGAACAACCTTCTTCAACATACTTAGCTACCTAAAATTATCATCATTGGCTTACTTTTTTATTCTTTATTCTATTCCTTCTTTTGTGTATCTACTGGGTCCGACTATATTATTACTATGAATAATAATAAAAATGTCCTGTCATTAACCTTCATGTAATATTAGTTTATGTGATTGTTTTTTTTGTTCGGCAATATTAAACTGACAATCTTGGTTGTGAACGCCGTTATCACCATCCTAAAATTTGTGTATTAAGCAAGTTTACTCACACTACCACTACAAACACCGCATTAGTGCTAACAATAAAAAAAACAACCCTGAAATGTTTATTTTATGATTGTTTAGTGTAGTTCAATCAAATTAACTGATCATCTTGGCTATAAACATTTTTAAGAATATTTCATAACTTGTTGTATGATTATAGCTGTTACTGTTCACCACGCATACACATATCATAGCTCTTACTACCAAATACTGAAATATTATTCATTATTGGTGTTTATTTTCCTTTCTACTTGGTTTTTTTGGATTTTTTGTTATTTTTGTGCTTTTTGGTTTTGTTGTTGTTTTTTATATTTATTTTTTTGGAATACTCCTAAATGTGCGATGAAATTAGATGCAATATTGTAGATATGTGCTGAAAATCCCACACTGTATCACTAGTACTGTTTCTGGAATAAAAGCGAAATTATTATTATCATTATGTTGTTTAAAAGACTGTTTTATCGGTGGTGTCTGCGTCAATAAACTTTTTCTGTTATCACTTCAATTTCTGAAACGTCTAAGGTAAAGAAACTCGCCTCCGCTACTTCATCTTTAATAAACAGTGGTGTTTGCCGACCCCTGTTGTAAAGGTAAAAGACAAGAGACTTGATAAAGGAATGTTTATTTGCAATTTAGTATCCCTATATAGGGGAATTGTGTATGCACACTTTATCTTCAACGTACAATTTACACTTAACTACCGTGTTGTGCTACTTCTAGGCTTCGTATTACATTTCCTCGTGTTCGCTTCACGTCCACCTTGTATCTCCGCAACGCTGTATCATTCGCTTTCTTCGATATCAAATCTATCTCCTCATTCAAATCCCGGTGGGTGCGTACTGTTGAAGAGTCACAAACTAGGACGAAACAGCTGTCCAGTCCCCCCAGGTTTCCCAATGGTTCTCTAACTAATGTTATCTCATGATGAAATCCTGTAACCACTCAATCAAATCCCTACAAACCAACACTTGACTA